CCCCAAAACCCCAAAACCCCAAAACCCCAAATTATTGGAATTTAGTTGAGTTAATATAATAATATTAGTTTTATTAAAAAAATGGATAGACCAGGCCAAGCCCTGTGAAAAGGTGAGGAGAGGGTGAATGCAGTTTAGATGGATCCTAGTGCTGGGTTTGAGCCTAGATGAGTAGAAGGAGGGGAATAGAAGTTTTAGAGTATGCTAGGGGATATAGGAAGTTTAAAAGAGAAGTTAGAATAGAAACAAGATCCTTGAATTAAAAATACTTAAGAGAAATATCAAACTTTTAAAACTAATAAGGCCATTTATGCAAAGCAATAAGAAAATTTCTAACTAATTTAGAGAATGTGCATATTTAATAACTTCTTGGAAGCTTTGTCTTCAAAGGCTAAGAATATAGATAATTATATTTTCACGGTGATAATTTATTCAAAAATTATAATTATTGAGAGTAAATTTTCTAACACAATAACTTAGCTGAAAAGCAGATATCTAAAAAAGAAAGAAGATTTGAAAAAGAAATATTCGCTTTAGTCCGAAGAGATGTTTATAATTACACAATATTTTTGAGCGTCTGAGCATCTTTCTTACTACATCTAAATGATCCAAGTACAAATAGATTTGCTAAGAAAATGAAATATACTGCAATGCCAGAATTAAACCAGCTCAGCCTCAACCACTTTCCCCCAAGAAATAAGACAACTGCTAGTTTTGTAACAACCAATTTTCCTCGATCAGTTGAGCATCTGGTTATTGATCAAGGATTTATTTTGAAGCCAATTAGAGGATATTTTGCAGAATTGATCAAAATTGTTCCAAAAGTTCAACAGAAGATTTCATTCAGGAGCTTTACCATTAATGACAGAGAATTCAAAAGAATCATTTCTGCTGTGAGACATGTGAGGAGAATCTTTTTTGCATGGTGCGAGATTTCTGTTACTAAAGTCCCTGACTTTTCATCTGCATTAGACAAAACTAGACTTGAAGAGCTTTCAATGCAGGAATGCAGCTATGGTTATGGTCACAAAAGCAATTGGGAACAGAACTACCTCCAGTTTAAGAATTTTATTGAAGGATTAAGCACCTCTCAAGATCTCAAACAAAGCCTAAAATTAATGAAAATCAAATCCCAAATGTTAAAAATAGGAGAAATAAAAAACATTCTAAATGAAAATGGGTTTGAAGAGGTCAGACTTTCGCTATAATTTCTCAAAAATAAACACCTATACTCTATTTGATCATTCATTTCAATTTTTATATTCCTTTCTGGGGTTTTGGGGTTTTGGGGTTTTGGGG